CCATACTTTGCTGCAGCGATTATACGGGATTATTGTGAACATCTAGTCAGACCTCCTGTGTAACAGGCCACGGGTTGCTCTTGAATTAATTCTTGTTTGAACAAAGGCAGATCTTTAGAAAAAACATCTCATCTTGATTTAAAAAAACTCCAGGGATGGAGAATCCACTACAACACATGGTAAATTGTTCCAGTGGTGAATTAATCTCCGTGTTAAAAAACTGCCCCTCATTTCTTGCTGAAGTTCTCTAACTTCAGCTTCCAGCCATTGGAGCTTGTTATACCTTTGTCCGCTAGCCTGAGGAGTCCTCTAGCTACTGTCGAGTTTCTTTTCCCTGTATAGGTACTCTGGATAGATACGTAGACAGGGAGTCTGAACAAACGCTCGCGCAGCTGGGGTGTCCCTCACCCCCCACCCAGCCTGAAGGGCTGACCAAGGCGAGACCATTGAAGGGTGAGAAATAACGCAGGGTAGAAAACGCAAGTTATTTTGCCAAAACACCAAAAAAATCCCTTGTTTTCTTAATGGGCCCATGAAAATTTTTCAGTTAAAAAAAAAAAAACAAACAAACCCTGAAAATATTTCAATTTTCTGTACAAATGTTTGGGTTTCAGAAAAATTGATATTTTGACATAAAACCCTAAACATCCCCCCTCACAATAAAAGAAATTCCACATTCAGTTTCGAATTTTTCACCAAAATGCGGTAACATTTACCAAAATGAAAATATTTCACTAAAAAATGTTTATTCAGTCAAAAAACAAAACAAAACCGTTTTTGTTTAAAACTAGAAGGTGCACTGAAAAACAAGAGCCCCCCTAGCTATTCTGCATTGAGGGCTGCTGGCAGCACACACTGCTGCACGGAAAGACACTGGTAAACAGCTGAGGCCTTGGTGGGGTTCGAGGTAGGAAGCTGGTGCTTTAGCCGGAGAGGCACAAGGGTCTGCGCTGGATCCAGGAGGGTTGGAAGGGCAGGGGGGTTCTTTTGGGGGTCATCTGCTGAGGCCTGAAATCCCCCCACCCCTCCAAAAAGACAAGACGAGAGCTGGGGGTAGGCAGAGCTAGGGAGGTAAGTTCCATCCTAACAGGTTTAGGTGAAGGGGGTATCTGAGCCCAGCTGAACAAACGAGTCTGTCCCTTCCCTGCACTTCTTAACCCACCGTCTGACACTGGCAGGGCCCACAACAGCTTGGATAAGTCCCGGGGCCTGAGGCATTTCTGTGCTCACACAACACAAGCAAGGAGCCCCTGACCCTCCTCCCCTTCCCATCAATCAACCAGCCCCCTTGCAGGAAGTGCTGGTTCCAGCCCAAGGAGACCCGCTGCCGGGCAGCACCTGGGATCGGATGCCTGCTGCCTTTCCAGCTGTCTGCACCATGCCCAAAAGGCCACATATGGAATATTTCACTGCAGGCCAGCCAGGTTTGTTCTTTGAGAGGCACTGCTGAAGAATGTGCCTTTAATATCTCATAGCACTTTACAAAGGAGGTTAGCATCATTAGCCTCATTTTACAGATGGGGAAACCGAGGCACAGGGGGTGAAGTGACTTGCTATGGAGCAGTTGGAAGGGTTGCCATACAAGAAAAGGACCCAAGCCCATGGGAGTCTTCAGTGGGCTTTGGATCAGGTCCTAACTGAGGAGGGAAGAGTACGAATAAAACTCCCTGTCTGTTGCCACCTATTCAACACAGACACGTGCACGTGGGGAAGGGGAAGAGATTTTTCTCTTAGAGACTCAGCACCTTGTCCTTTCAGTCAAAGGCTGAGAAGGCTCCCAAGGCTGGATTCTCCTCTCACCACACATCTGTCAAGAGAAATGAAGTCACACCAGGGTAAGTAAGACAAGAATCAGGCCCACAGCCTTGATCCCCAAGACCTCCAAGGAGTGCTCCAGCAAAAACCGGCAAGACAAAAACTTGACAATTCTCTACCACTTGTGCTGAGAGAATCTCCCTCAACAGTTAGCAGCATAGAGACTATGATACATAAAACATGTCTCTTTAGCAACAGAAGTTAGTCCAATGAAAGATATTCATGTCGTTTCTTCCCATATGTTCCCATGTGTAGAAAGAGGATACCAAAGATGAGACATTTAGAGGGTGCGGTGGACTGAATTTATGGAGGGGCTTCTGAAGGGCATGATGAATACGTTGCCACTTGTTTGCCCCATGTCCTAATCCAAGAATCTAAGCCAGAGGGGGCAGCTAATTAGACAAAATTGAAAGCCCCTAAAAGGAAATCTCTCCCCTACGATCTAGTTGCTCTGTAGAGCCAGATGGACTTAGCCCTTGGTGAGCCCTTTATAAAAACCTTCAACACACTTTACAAACATTAGCCAATTAATTCCAAACCAACGAAGTGATTACTCCCAACTGCTCAATGCCTGCCAGAGCAGATCAAGGCACCTAGATTGAGAGGACTTTGCAATCATTTTATGACCACTAGAAATATCACTATTGGGCCCGTTACCATCTCTCTAGCTCTGGTACTTACAGGTCTCCCATCACCGAATACCTCCTTGTCTTTAAAGGTATTTATCTTCATACTACCCCTGAGAAGTAGGGCAGGGCTATTATACCCATCGCAGAGATGAGAAAACTGAGGCACAGAGCAGCTTCCTCACTTTCCCAAGGCCACACAGGAAGTTTGTGCTGGAACAGGGAACTGAATGCAGGTCTCCAAGTTGCAGGCTAGTGCACAACCCCTGCGGCATTCCTTGCTCTTCTCCAAAGTAGTCCCAGTAGCTCAGCTGGGCAGATGAGGCTCGATGCTACAGGTCGGCATGAAGGCTGGAACACAGTTGCCGCCCCACACACCTTATGGCCATACCATGCCATGTTTTGACAGAACGAGGAGAAATGGTCTCAAGTTGCAGTGGGGGAGGTTTAGGTTGGATATTAGGAAAAACTTTTTCACTAGGAGGGTGGTGAACCCTGGACTGTGTTACCTAGGGAGGTGGTGGAATCTCCTTCCTTAGAAGTTTTTAAGGTCAGGCTTGACAAAGCCCTGGCTGGGATGCTTTAGTTGGGGATTGGTCCTGCTTTGAGCAGAGGGTTGGACTAGATGACCTCCTGAGGTCCCTTCCAACCCTGATATTCTATGATTCATGCTTTGGCCCTGGCCCCAAAACAGCCCTCGGGCAGCAGTCGGCTTTTAACACAGTTCATCTGCAGCCACTACGGGACTGAGTCTCTGAGATGGGTTAGCCAGGCCTCCCACATCACACTGTATGGCTATCCCAAAATGCACCCACCCCATCTCTTGCCCCTGGCCCCAGCAGCTGGCCAGCTTTTCCGTCCCATCATGTTCTGGCAGTTGAGCAGCATGGACCCACTGACCCCATTGTGCTGAATTGCTGCTTTCATGGATGCACCCAACTGTGTTAGCAGTAAGAGCATCAGAGCTTGGTGTAAGGGGAGGGGCTGAGTGATGCATATTCAGGGACTTCCTCATGCTCACGCCAGAGAGGGCTGGGGGGGTTGTGATGGTGTGAGGAAGGTGTAGCAGACAGAAGCGAGGAGCCCTTGCTGCGAGCTGGAAAAGCGACCTCACGGGAGATCTTCTGCGCCCCATACACGAGCTCAGCCAGACATTAAGGGCCTGGAGCAGGAATCCTGGGGTGAAGTTCTCCAGCCCGTGCAATACAAGGTCAGGCTGGATGGCCAGAATGGTCCCTTTGGGCCTTACCAATCTAGGAGTCTTCACGCCAGCTGAAACCCCAACCCGCCTCCTCTCAGCGCGAGATCCAGGCAAGAAACAACTCAGCGAGTTTTATTACTAAAACCAAGCCAAACAGCTCTTTTAATCTCATTTGCACATGAGCCCAGAACTCCTGAGTTTGCACTGGGGCCACAGAACAAGCCCTGTGCTGCAGTTCCACTTGAGGCCAGCTGGCAGCTAAGCCAAGGGGGTGAGAACACCTCCGCTCAGGGAGCCAGGGGCATCTGCAGCATCTGAGCCTGGCTTTAAGCCTTCCTTGTTGTCACTTTTCAAGGGGAGTGAGGTCTGCCCTGGTGGCCTCCAGACTAACCCTGCTCCATTTCCCTTTAACAGGCAAAAACTTCCTCACATGCACAAGCCACATGCCCGTGGCACCCTGTGGGTCCAGGCCTCAGGAGGCAGCACGTACAACAGGCACAAAAGCAGAGAGATTTCAGGTTGAGGCTGCACCCTGCGTGCAGCCTGCGGGGCTTTTCCTTTGGGATAGAGGCAGCAAAGCAAGGGGCAAGGGCATCACCTGTGGCTCAGGTGCATCACACAGCAGTGGAAGATTCAAAGGCAGCACGGGCTGTCACCCCCAGGCACTGGAGTGCAGTGCAGAGAGATGCAGCGAAGGAGGGGGCACTTTGCCAGGGATCTTCCTGGGGCTGCCAGACACCAGCTGGGACGACGCACCCCCAAGGTCCAGCACTGAGGGTTAGGGGATGGAGAGGCAAACCTGCCTCTGTGCATTACCTTCAGCGGTGATAGCTCCGACTCCACTACAGAGAACGATAGTGCTCCTTCCTGTGGGTCACCGCCTCGGTGACCAGCACAGGAGTTGGCAGCCCGGGGGGGCCCAGCTTCACCCTCCCAGCAGGCAGCTCCTCCTTGCGGTGGGACCTGGTGGCAGCTCTGGTCTTCGGAGGCGGGAGTAACAGTAACCGAACAACCAGCGGGGCAGGAAAGGAGGGGAGCTGGGGGGCAGGAGAAGAGGCTGGGGTTCCCCTAGCTTCTGGGGAGCATCACAGTTTGTTCAGAGGGCGAGAAGCCAGTTTGCAAGCTAGATAATGCAGCAAAATGACAAGCTACGTCCAGTGGGCCAAACCAAGGTCTGGCAGAAGCAGGTGCAATGGCCATCGGCTTCACTGAGCTCCAGCCACTTACGACAGGGCTAAATTTTAGTAGCTGCACTGTACTCAAAATCATCATGCTGCCCCCTCTGTCATTTCACCCCCATCCCAGGTATCCCCTCTGTTCCCCGTGAAAAGAGATACATTCTTCCCTTATTTCTCAGGGGAACTGCTGCTGGGGATGGAGCAGCCCCACAGGGGATAGACCAGAGTCCAGACTATACGGAGACAGAGAGGGAGATGAGACACACCATCAGCACCCCTGCTCCAACTCATTCGACCACATGAGCCAGGGGATCCAGTCTCCACTTCAGTCCCACCAGATCTTGATGGGGGGGAACTTCCAGAGGTCGGGGTGCCCCATGTGAAGCAGGTTGCTGTAGGGAGAGGTGCTCCACTGAAAAGGGGGGACATCGTCCCAGGTGGGCCCGCAGGCGGCAATCAGGCTGTAGCCCTTGGCCATCGCATAGGATGTGATCTAGGGAGAGAAAACCCAGCATCTGATGATTTCCGCAGACTCAGCGGGAGCATCTCTGGCACAGGTCCTGCCAGATGGCCTCCGGGGGACAAGACAGGCAGAAACACTTGAGCTGGGCTGAGTCCACGAAGCTGGAGCGCACACACATATATAGATTATAATGCCACGCCCCCAGACCTAAGTTGTCAGCAGCAGGGATCGAACCGACAACCTCTGGATCCACCGTCAGAGCAGCTCTTCTGGATCTGTTAGCCAAAGCTGCAGTAGGCTTCCCCCCTGCAGGAGCGTGCGCTCACCCATCAGATTCGCCCATCACCTCCCCCTGCGGCCCTCACCTTCATATCCGTGCCTCCGTGCGACCGCTGGCGCAGTGCGGCAAAGGGGTAGGTCCCGTTGGCAGGGTTCAGATCGGACCTGGCGGCGATGGCGTTTTCGGCGTTCTGGGGCGGGTCGCAGCCCTGGCACCGGGACAGTGGGTCCTTCAGGAAGTCGTTGAACCTGAGAAGCAGCACGAACACGTTCAACGGAAGCAGCCCCAAGGGGTGAGGAGCTGGGCCCCACCTGGTGTACGCCTGGATGAGCCACTGGGGCAGCTCTGCACTGGAAGGGAGGGGGAAGACCCTAGGCTGGGTTTGAACCAGGGATGGAGGGGAGCTATTCTGCTCTGTCTAGGCTCTTACTCCAGGCTCGTCACTGTAGCAGCTGCCCTCAGAGCCTGACCAAAAAGCCAGCATTGTCAGGACAGAGTCTCATTACCTTCAGTGAGCATTGGATCAGGCTCCTGGAGCTATGGAGGTGGGATCTAACCTCAGCCCTCGCTCGTGCCGAGGTTAGATCTTGCTGGATTAGGGGGCAGAGGGAAGCGGAGATTGTGGTCAGGGGCGATCTGGCGATCAGCCCCAGGGGAGGGAAGCGCTGAGAATTTAGCCTGGTAACTAGAGACAATCCTCAGGAAACCCTCAGGATCCGAACATCTCCACGCTGAAGGGTGCTCCTGATCTGGCTTTTTGAGGCCACCTCTCTGTGTAACTGCACCTGCCCCAGCTGTCCCCCAGCCTGACCAAGAGGACGGCTGGCTCCATCCAGACAATAGCCATAGTGCCTCATCATGCCATGACACGATCACTGCCGTGACACCACACGTTGTCGAGACGCAGTGACAGCGCATCAGCTCCAAGGATGCTCCAGGACCCACAGTTAGCATTCCAAACATGCACAGCTGCCTTGTCGACATCAGGATAAGGGGCAACCCTACAATAACATAGCCCTTAACACTCTCCCTCTGCCCCCACGCAAACACACAGCTTGACTCCCCGATCTGTGCCGGTCTCCCTCGCACACCTTTTCCCAGGCCAAGGTGCCGGAGGGCGTGGAGCACTTGTGTTTTGAGGTCCGCTCTTCCTACGAGTGATACAGCCCTCCCGGGACTAGACGTCGCTAAGCTCCCTCTCCACACAGAGAAGCCCTCACCTCATGAGCTGGATCATGGAGTCCATGTCTTGGACGAGCGTCTGATTGCGCCTGAAGATCTGGGCCCGGGGGCTTTTGTCGTAGGTGAACCAGTCGCCGTATTTCTTCACCAGCTCCAGCTGGCCACTGGCATTGAAGATCTGCTCAAAGTACCTGGGGATGTGGGGGAGGGAGCAACACACAGGTTGAGCAGAGACCCCTCCTGCCTTTGTACATGTGCCTCAAGGAATCCCACCCCCACCCCAGAGAGGCCAGGCCAGGTGCCAAAGGGATGGGGGAAGGTAATGGATGGCTTGGTGGTTAGGAGCACTTGCCTCAGACTTGGAGGTTCAGCTCCCTGCTCTGTCCCAGACCTCCAGTGTGACTGGAGGCAAGTCACTTAGCCTCTCTGTGCCTCGGTTTCCCACCTATAGAAGGGGGATAACAGCCCTACCCTGCCTCAGGGGGGTCGTGAGGAGAAATCACAGGCGGTAAAGCGCTCTGAGACCCACTCAGCAAGATGTTATTAGAACAGCCTATCAGGGCAAGGCCCTTTCTAAAGGGGAATTTCCACCTGGTTCTCACCCAGCTGCCAAGCCCACTCCATGCCAACCCCAGCCAGCAATTAAAGGCGGAGTCCCTCTTAACAGCTGAATGCTGCCCCCTTCTGGAACCAGGCAGCACAGCTCCCTGAGAGCACATCACTCCCAGCCCCAGCTGGCTGGGGGGCAGAGGAGAATGCTCCTCATAAGCCCAACGGGGTTTGGATCAGGCCCTCACTGTGGTTGGAAGACCACCCCACAGTGGGCAAGACGGCACCAGGGGTTGGGTGCCTGTTCACCCAGCTGACCCCCCCGCAGAGTAAGATGCCCGAAGCTAAGGGGCTGGAATGGAGAGAGAGGAGAACCTCCTTACGGCACATTGTAACTGGCCCAGTACCCCTTCTGGTACAGCTCCTCTGTTTTGTCAGCCACGACCACCAGCCCCCTGAGAGAGAGAGAGAGCGCGCGGGCATGAGAGACCGGAACACAAACGGGAAGCAGATTGCATGCTGGGAAAGCAGGAGTGCGGCCTCCATCTTGGATAACCAAAAAGCCAGACAATCAGGGGGCCAGATCCAATGAGCAGCTGCCCCAAGCACAGGCAGCCAGCTGGCTCCCCCAAGGTCCTCTGGCTCAGCAGGGCTTCCGTGTTTGATTCATAGATACTAAGGTCAGAAGGGACCATTATGATCATTTAGTCTGACCTCCTGCACAACGCAGGCCACAGAATTTCACCCATCCACTCAGTGCCTAGAACGATTGAACCACAACCCTGCAGGGGAGCCCAGTCAGGGGCAGCCAGACCTCCATCAAACCCTGCCACCCCTCTATCCAGGCGACAGCCTCAGCATTAAAGACAAGGAATGTGACCTCGTCTCAGAGCAACAGGGGAGTCTCAGCCAGTCAAGGCTGTGCTGTAAACACAAGTGTCACAGCTAAACCCAGAGCGGGGGCAACAGACTCCATATCAGCGGGTGGAGCTGTAACAAACCCGGCATCATCTTATCGCTCTCCAGAGCGCATGAGGAGGCCTGGGAGAAGGAGCAAGTTCACAGCTCGATAACATTACAGCTGGATGTTCCCTTTTGAAGGCACTTACGGGATCTGCTCCAGCACCGTGAGCACCCCCTGCTGGAGGCCAGCTTTGCCTGGCAGGAAGGTGTTATAATCTACAATCATCCACTGGTTGTTGTACCTGGACAAGAGACGAGAGGGGAAGCGTTTGGAGTTCAGTGCCCTCGCACCATGGTAGTAAATGTCAAGTAATTGTCCTGGTGTACTTACGCTGCCACCACGTGGCTACTCAAGGTAACTATACTCTTTGGTGTGTGATTTCCTTACTGTTAATAAATGTACACAGTCAACCTGTGGACCTTGTTGCCAGGGTGTGTTGTGAAGGCTCAAAGTACAACTGGGTTCAAAAAAGAATCAGATAAGTTCATGGAGGATAGATCCATCAATGGCTGTTAGCCAAGACGGTGAAGGGCGCATCCCCTTGCTCTGGCTGTCCCTAAACCTCAGACTGCCAGAAGCTGGGACTGGATGACAGTCGATCACTCAATAATTGTCCTGTTCTGTTCATTCCCTCTGAAGCACCTGGGACTGGCCACAGTCAGGGACAGGATACTGGGCTAGATGGACCATTGGTCTGGCCCAGAATGGCCATTGTTATGCTCCGGTTTGAAGGATCTCTGTGTGGCTACAGTGTAGGCAACTCTCACGTGACCGCAGTGGACAAACTGACACCAAAGTGAGGATCAAAACTGAACACAGGTCAAGGTTTCAAACAAAGATTCCCTCCTACTCTGGAATTTTCACTCATTCGCCCCCACTTCTCATCCCCTCGCCATGTCAGGTCCGGACATCATTTGGGGCTGGTTTCAGAACAAACTGCAGAGACGTCAGAAGTTGTTCCATAAGCAATGCCTGCAGGTGGCTCTGAGAGCCAAGCAAACTTCCCTGTGGCAGGAGCAATGGACGCAGTTATTGTTACAAATCCATGGTGACTAGGACCTCCCGACTGTCCCTGGACCACCTCACAGAGCCCGAGTTTCAAAGCAACAACAGAGATGGAACTCGGGTCCTCCTCCTTCAAAACCAGAAGCCGCTTCTGTCTGTATAAGAGGAGAGACTCCCTAAACTTTGCTGCTTGGTCTCAGTGCCACTGACATCATGCAATGTGACAAAACACAACACATTAACTAACATGCGACACCACATGGCCAAAGCATGTCACAAGGTCACGTGATGTCTCATGATATTGTGCCATCACCACAGAGTGCCTTGTGCAATAACTGGACGTCAGAGACAGGTTAGATCTTCCTGCTTGACTGAACTCACCCATCCCATCGCTGCCAAAGGGAGGGGAGAGGGGGACACAAAGGACGGTCTGGATGACTGCTAGTTGACTTACGTGCCACTGTTGAACTGCTGGAAGATGGCAGCCCACTCAGCCCCGCTCCTGGCTAGCCGGTTTGCCACTATATTTCTCAGCCACTCCAGGACACTCCCTTCCGGATGGATGTACTTCCACAAGGCAGCATTGCTGTTCCCAATGGTAGTTTCCAAAGTCACCTGCAGGGTACAGAGTCATAAGCAAATCCAGGTAAGGGTGCGTGTGACCTAACAGAGGCCAGACCTGGGCTCCTGGCAATGGTGCAGGAGAGTGACATAGGCAGAACTGGAGGGGCAACCTGCCCCATTGCCCACGTGAAGAGTGCAGTAGTAGAGCAGTACATAGGCAGAGGAAGATTTGGGTTCTGCACGGAGATGATAGGATTCCTGGTGTAGACAGTGACCCAGGGCCCTGCTTGAATCACCTTGAATCCCAAAGCAGCGATGGGAGAGGAGACTCAACCCCTGGCTGGCAGAACCCAGGGACAGCTAGAACATGGGGGAGGGAGGCAGGGGAGGAGGATCCAGGCAGCAGCTGCTCACCAAGCCACTGCTCAAGATGTAGAAGTCGTCTCCTGAGAAGATGGTGCCGGGATAGGACGAGAATGTCTGGATGTGCCCCGAGATCATGTCGTCACCTGGGGAAGCAAATGGCAGGGAGCCATCGGCGTGCAGCCGCCACACCCCATCACCTCCAGAGATGGGCCCTGCCAGCTTCCCACAGCAAACTCCACCCCAGGAGTGGCAGCAAGATCCAGCGGCAGGGGGAGCAGGACCCCTCTCTCTTTGCATAAGGAGCAGGGAAGCTTACACACCATCTTAGTGGGCTCTGGAAGCTCCAGTCTGGTGGCTACCTCTCTTGCCCTTCCCATGGGACAGCCAATCCCGCTTCCTGGGAGGCACATACATGCTTACTGCTGCTGTCTTATCACCCCCTCATCCTGCCCTCCCTCCTCCTGCCCCGGGCTAAGGAGCACCGATCCTGGCAACAGCCCACACAGCTATCTCCCAGGCCCCCGCCCGCATTACGCACTGTGGGCTGAGGTCCGGAAGGGCAGCATGTATTTCTTGATGATGCGCAGCATGGACTGGTAAGTATTCCAGGTGTCATGGGAGACCAAGAGCTCCTGGTTCCCTGGCAGCAGTTTGATGAGCGCGGAGCAAGACCCTGAGCCCAGTGTGTGCTTCCTTTCCGTTCTGTTCAAGGCTGATTCCAGGTCCTCCAGGTCCCCACCCAGCTGGAACAAGCTGGAGGGGGGAAACAGACACATGGGCTCATAACAATCCCAGGCAGCTTAGACGGAGGCCCCTGGATTTGCCAAAGCAGAGCAGACCCTCGGGCCACCTACCCTCACCTTGGCTGGAATCCTGCTATTGGTTACCTCAGCTATGCCCACTCCCCAGGCTAGAGGAAGCAGGAAACTCTACCCTCCTGATCCTGGCCATTTGCATGTGATGGCCGTAATGATCCCTTCTTTGTCCCCACAGGTTCTCCCTGCAGCCAGGACTCCCTTATCTGACCATGGATAAGCTGCAAGCCTAGTGACTGCCATAAAACTGCAGCCTGACGCAACTGCAGACACAGGGCATGGGGGGCAGAACTTCCAACCTTTGGCTTCAGTGACTCAGGCCTTGCCTCAGCCTCAGGGGCTAATGAAACAGTACGCTGTTAGAGACCAAGGCTGGAGCATATATGTATTTGGGAGCAATCTGCCCTGCTGTGTGGGTATAAATGCATTGTGGGTAGGAAGGGCTAAGAGGGTCCGGGCAGAGGTACTCTAAAGAGCTGCTGGACTGCATTATATTTTAATTAAAACGGGAGGTCCTCTCCATGCTGGGGAGTCGGCCCAAAGAAGTCACCAAAGCATCATGCTAACATTAACAAGCTGTTCTCAGCACCTTGGGAGGAGGCAACTCCTCTCCCTGGTTTACAGATGGGGAAACTGAGGCATGGAGACAGGTTGACCAGGAGGGGCCTGCTTTCAGAACCCAGCACGCAATATGTGAGGCAGTAGCAAATCTGGCCTCACGCTTCTTCAGCAACCTTGGATCTGCAGGGCCAACAAGAGCCAGGGTACACTGGGGGGGTCAGCAAGCTAAGCAGATGGGGGCTGGGGGTTCTGCAGAGACAGGGGGTACAGCAACAAGTCACCATATCCAACCAGGACGCTGTATTTTAAAGATCATGTGGTGGGGAAGCTATCTAGAGCTCAGAGCAGAAGCACAGAGTCAGAGCTCCTGGTTCTACTGCCAGTGCTGTTGCCGACTCACTAGATGACCAAATTACAGCACCTTTCTGTGCCTCAGTTTCCCTCTGTAAAATGCGGGTAATAATGGGTCCCTAAAACCTACAGCGTCCCTTTGCTGCATGCCTATGGGATGCAGCCCCAGCTCCTCCCTACAGCCACCAGTGAACTGCAGCTGCTGAGCACGTACCAGGCCAACACCCATCTGCTTCCCCCAGCCCCACTGTGCTGGACCTGCCCCATTCACTCCACCCCATCTCTCCAGTTCCCCTTTGCTCCTGCCATCAGCCAGGACCGCCAGGGTTAAGTCCAATCACCCAGCTCCCACCCTCATGCCCAAAGGGACTTACAGGAAGCCAAACGGGGCAACTGAGAACCGTCCAGTCGGGAAAGCCACTCGCCCATTATAACCATCCTCCAGGCCCTTGAGCTGCAGCAGAGCCAGACGCACCTGTCGGTGGAGGGACAGGCACATGGTGAGGCCCCCCATGCACAGGCACTGGCGAGCAGGCCAGGGTCTGAGATCTCACCCCACATGGTGTGACTTATCAACTGTTGGAAATGGCCAACTGTGCACCTTGACTGCATTGGCCTCATTAGCACTACAAAAGTAATCTTCCCTCTCTTGATATTCACCCCTTATTGTCAACTGTTGAGAATAGGCCACTTCCACCTCAATTGAATTGGCCTCATTAGCACTGACCCCCCCCACTTGGTAAGGCAACCCCCATCTTTTCATGTGCTATGTGTATATACTGCTTACTGTATTTTTCACTCCATGCATCTGATGAAGTGGGTTTTAGCCCACGAAAGCACATGCTCAAATAAATTTGTTAGTCTCTAAGGTACCACAAGGACTCCTAGTTGTTTTTGCTCATACACACTAACACAGCTACCACTCCAAAACCTGGACCAAGTGAGTGAGAACTCAGCGACGGATCAGGCTCTCTATGGCTTGCCCCCAAATCCATCCTCATGCACATACAGAGCTACCCAGACCATGCTGCCCAGACAAGGTCCTGTAGGAGGGGAACTGAAGCTCCAAAGATGAAAGTTACAAAAGACGGATCTACTCACCCCAGCTGGAATTTGGCCAGGACTCCTGGGTTAACTTAACCAGCACACCATATATACGCAAGGCACTGCCGCCTAGCAGCACACACCCACCTGGTACCAGTACTCCAGATCTCCTTTCTCCATTTGCTCCTCCATCCAGGCCAGGTTGGTCTCAATGTAGCTCTTCAGCTTCTCGCAGTAGACAGTCTGGTATTTAAAGGGGCCGCAATAGCCCACCATGGTGTTCATCCAGTGCATGTAGATGAGCTGGAGGAAGAAGGGGGCACAGTGTAACAATGGGACAGGCCAATCTGAAGACCCAGCCTGCTCACCCCTTTCTATCCACTTAATGTCCTCGAGCGAGGGGCTGGTTCTCCATCACCTCTAGGTAAAGTCAGGCTTTCCTCGCTAAGGCATCTCCGATTGGATGGCTGGAGAGCTAGGGACAAGCCGAACGGGGTGGGAGCGCAGATAGGCAACCCCAGTCACCCTGTGTTTCCACAGGCTTCAGTCTAGGCCAAGCTTAGCTCATAAGTGAAATGAGCTTGAGAATCTCAGCCTCGCCTCCACTGGGCACAAGTGAGCAATTAACGTGCAGCACCACGGATCGGAGAGGCCCAGGAATGGACTAAACTGAGCCTGAGTCTAGATTGAGGTCCAGTGGCATAGCAGGGTGGGGGGAACCTAGGACTGGGACACAAGGGGGCTCTGCAGACCAACCCTAGCAGAGCTCCAGGATCTGCGGGTCTGACTGTCCCCTGCCATGCACCAGCATTTACCTGCTCAGACACAGTGGCTTCGGCCAGTCCCGCAGCATAGGCCTGCAGGCTGTCATTGTACTTCTCGCTGGTGGCCAACTCCAGGAAGGACCACCTGCACCAAGCAAAGAGGACACTGAACGAACAGGGGAAAGATCACACACAATGGAAAGTCCCCATGCGGCCCATGGCAATGCACTCCCTCCATCCAGGCTCCCTGGGGGCTGTGTTTGTATCTTACTTTATCTGAAGCGTCCTTCAGATAAAGGCTCCAGTCAGACAAAGCAAACTACTCTCTGGGCCTCTCTGTTTGCTGTCTGGAGCTGCTCCCAAGAATCCCTGTGCCACCACACAGCTGGGGCTAAAGACACCCTGGAGCCAGGGGAGGTGCTTACCAGGGTCTTTCTCCATAAGGGGGACATCAAGGGGAAACAGAAGAGGATGGGGGACCAGACAAGCTTCTGCTCTCCCTTAAAGGATCTGCACAACCATTGTCCCTTACATAGGTACTGGCGTTACCATGGCATCCAGCACTGCAGGGTCTTCCACACACAGTACTCTGCACTTAGAATCGTCAAATATTAGGGTTGGAAGGGACACAAACCTTTGCTAATTCAACCCCTCCCCCCAAGATTAGCAGTGGGCAGAGGTTGTCTATTCTGGGGGGGGGGGGGGGGGCTCCACAGGGGCCAGCGGAGATACAAGGGGGCAGAGCCTTTGGCAGCTGGCTCAGGGCCATCTGTCTCATAGGCACCCCTTTGCGGCACAGTTCTCCAGTCCCCGGATAGGTCACGGGTGGATCAGCCTCTGACAGCAAATGAAACCCACCAGGCAGCAGCACCTGGGACGTTCAGTACCCACAGAGCTACTGGGTCACTTTGGAGAGCGGACAGCAGCTCCCCCCCTGCCCAAAGCTCATTCGATCACTTTGGAGCCTCCTGCCTCTCAGCCCGGCCTACAGAACAGGGCCAGGAGCTCCCGCCCCAGAGTCAGCCCTGCTGAGATCAGTAAGCAATACTGAAGGTCAGTGCAGGAGGGAGTCAGCAACTCCGATTGGCTCAGGCAGACAGATATTCACACCAAGATAATGCACTGCTCCACTGCGGCTGGCTAACGGGCCCCGCCCAATGGAAAGTGACTTATAAAAGAAACAGCACTGGTGCCAGCTGGACTGCCCTGGAGACAGAGGGCCCCTAGGACAGGTGCCGCAGGGGCACTGGCGCTGTGAGCTTCCCCTACTGGTGGGGGAGTCAACCCTAAATGGGATTCCACTTGGTAATCAGCAGGATCCCATTATTGGTGACTCGATAGCACAATACTCATCCAGGCCTTACTGGTGCTAAGTATTTCCGAGTGCTAGGCGCACCTTAACCCCTCCAGTATTAGGTACACAGAAGAGGCTTGACCAAGGTCACACAGCAAATCAGACCTGAATGCCACACCCCTGCCAGAACCAGCATCCAAACTTCCTTCTTCCAACTGACCTAGGTACATCACCATTACATCTAAACACAGCAGAGTGGCTGCTGCTGGGAGACAGCGGTCACTGCATGCTGCAGACAGTTCCAGAGGGAGCAACAAATGCAGTACTGCCAACTCCAACAACACTGGGTGCTCTTCGTGAAGCCCAAGCTCCTGGAGTCACGTGATCATGAGAGTCTCCGCTTTATTTTATTTATTTATTTTAAAAGGTAAGTTTCCAGGCCTCACAGTTGCAGAGAAAAGCTTGAAAATGTGACAGCCTCAGGGCTAGGACACCAGAAGACAAATAAAAAGAATCCTAAAGTTATTTTTTATTATTATTATTTTTAAATCTCATGATTTTTATGCCACTCGTGATTTTTTGGAGGGTTTAACATGACTTCTGAATACCTGGGATTAGCAACAGGGACTGTTCTCTCATCTAAAGAGACTGTGTTTATTGCTTTGCTTAAACCTGAAATAAGACAGCTCAGCCGAGGCACAGCGGGATTGCTCTTTACCTGCGCATGGTGAAGCATCACAACTATTTCTACTACACGGGGTGAAGGAAAATGCCACCAATGACAGGCTTGGGGTGGGCTAGTGAAATGCAGGTATTTATTGCTCTCTGGGCCAGTTTTTGACCTGGGAGAGGGAACTGCCCAACATGTCCAGCCTAACCCAGAAGATGAGAAGTAGCCTCTTGCCTCCGTAACCGTGCTAATTGCACTGAAGGGGCATTTATTGTCTGCAGCCTGCTGCTTTGCTAGACCCGCACTGTGACTCTGCTCAGCTAGTTGATGTCCCATAATGCACTTCAGACAAACACCCGTGGCTAATTAGTGATGCTCACTCAAAACCTGCCAGGCGCTGGAATGACAGAGGTTCCCTAGTAGCAGCTGTGTTAGTTTGTATCCGCAAAAAGAACAGGAGTGCTTGTGGCACCTTAGAGACTAACACATTTATTTGAGCATGAGCTTTCGTGAGCTACAGCTGAATGCATCTGATGAAGTGAGCTGTAGCTCACGAAAGCTTATGCTCAAATAACTGTGTTAGTCTCTAAGGTGCCACAAGCACTCCTGTTCTTTTTTTTTTAAGAGGTTCCCTGAATAAGAGGCACTACGCAGCAACAGGGGTCTGATACTAGCATAAGCAGAACCAGAGTTTTGAGAGCAATGATTGTACCAAAAAGGCGGCTGCTTCTTTCCTGTACTCAGTTATTTCAAATTGAGGAGAAAAGCTGAAGCAGCTTCAGTTTCAAAATAATCATCATGGCAATATAGTTATATATCTTTACCCCATCCCCTTTCAGACTCTTATTCCAGACCAGTGGCTCTCAACCTTTCCAGACGACTGTACCCCTTTCAGGAGTCTGATTGGTCTTGCAGACCCCCACGTTTCACCTCACTAAAAAGCTACTTCCCTTCAAAACTGGGCATAAAAATACAGAAGTGTCGCAGCACACTATTACTGAGAAATTACTGACGGTCTCATATTTACCATAGTATAAAATAAACCACTTGGACTGTAAATATTGTACTTACATTTGGGTATAGTACATAGAGCAGTATAAACAAGTCGTCGTCCATATTAAATTTTAGTTTGTACTGACTTCACTAGTGCTTTTTATGTAGCCTGTTGTACAACCAGGCAAATCTCTACACGAGTTGATGTGCCCCCTGGAAGACCTCTGCGTAGCCCCAGGAGTACACGTACCCCTGGTTGAGAAGCACTGTTCTAGATCATAAGCTCTTCAGGGCATGGGCTGTTGCTTAACATGTGCTTGTACAGCACCTGGCACAGTGGGGCTCCAGGTGTTGGGCAGCAGCATAAAGCTTTAAGACAGGCTCAATCCTAAGTGGAGCCTCTTGATGCTAGGGCAAGGGGAGTAATAATGTCCAAAACACAAGGAGGAAGAGCCACTCAACAGTGTCCCTTTCACAAGCAACGCAGAGGGATGTGCACACCCCCATCTAAGCATGCATGTGGATGGAAAGTGCCCGCAAGGCCTTACCCACACCGCAGCTGGCAGGATCCTTCCTACTGCAGGTAGACAGTGCCGTTCGTTCTGCTCCAGCCAGTGCACTGAAGGTAGCAGTGTGGCACTGGAGGCAGCTTGGACTAGCGGAGCGAGAATGCACTGCAAGGGTCGCAAGGGATCCAGGCACTGTATTTGGGCGGCTAGCCAAAGCCACCGCCTGCGCCACTCCAGCCACACTGCAATTGCTAGCTCATTTGCTCCAGCGCAGCGAGGGCCCGCATCTACCTACACTGGAAAGCACCATCCCAGCTACTATCCCTATGAGGAGAGGCTGAGGGAACTGGGATTGTTTAGTCTGCGGAAGAGAAGAATGAGGGGGGATTTGATAGCTGCTTTCAACTATCTGAAAGGGGGTTCCAAAGAGGATGGCTCTAGACTATTCTCAGTGGTAGCAGATGACAGAACAAGGAGTAATGGTCTCAAGTTGCAGTGGGGGAGATTTAGGATGGATATTAGGAAAAACTTTTTCACTAGGAGGATGGTGAAACACTGGAATGCGTTACCTAGGGAGGTGGTGGAATCTCCTTCCTTAGACGTTTTTAAGGTCAGGCTTGACATAGCCCTGGCTGGGATGATTTAATTGGGGATTGGTCCTGCTTTGAGCAGGGGGTTGGACTAGATGACCTCCTGAGGTCCCTTCCAACCCTGATTTTTCATGATTCTATACGAGGTAGACATACAGAAAGTGATCTCAAGGGTGAAACTGCACAGATGCTAGACACGCCGCATTACTCCCCCTTTAACAGCAAGAGGGGATTTCTCCTCCGCCAGCAATTTGCAAAGGGTTTTGCAACAAGTGGAATGCAATAACCGCAATGGAAAATGAAATCATATGCGTGTGGGGCCATCGAGACTGGAACAAAAGGCCCTGGCTACCGGACTGCAGGAAGGTGGCGCAAACACGCCTGATGCTGCAGAAGCGGCAGAAATGGCATGAGCCCCTGGTTAGGGGCACTCCAGCGTCACTGAATAGCAGAAGTGAAAGGGTGAGGAGAAAAGATACAGTTAGATCTTGTTGACAGATGTTTTTGTGAGTACAGGGCGGGGCGGGGGGGGGGGGGGGAGATGGAAGAGGGCCAGAGAAACCAGCCAAGACAGCCCCTGAGCAGAAACTCACCCAGGCAGGGCAGCTCCAGGACCCGACCCTCGCGCCCTGCCGCACCCCAGTCTCGAGAGCGGCGAGGGAGCCCCCCACCCATCGACAATGGAGACCCCAACCCAGGCTCGCTCGCTCCCAGCAGCCGGGTCTGAGCTCGCCCGGCGTCCCCGGGATCCGCCGGATCGGGACTGGCCCGGCGCAGGATCGGGACCTAGTGTATATATACACCCCCCCCCCAGCCCCCACGCGGGGCCCCCCTACCCCGTGTCTTGGATCCGGTCGGTGAGGTTGGCCCAGGCGACGGCGGCGGGGTCCCAGCCCGGCACGATCCGCAGCTGGCCCGAGGCGGGGTCCAGCAGCACCGAGCTGCGGCGCGTCTCGGGCCCGGAGAGGGGCCGGGCGGGCGGCAGGAGGCCCAGGAGCAGCAGCAGAGCCAGGGGCGGGCGGGGGCGGGGGCGGCGGCGGGCGCTCATTGCCATTGCCATTGCCATTGCCATTCCATTGCCCCAGCCCCTGCTGCAGCCGCCGGCCTGCTCCGCCGCGCAGCTCTGCGGGAGCCGGGACGGGCGGCTGGGGCGGGGCTGGGGCGCCCCTCTTAAAGCCACCCGGCCCCTTAAGCGCGGCGCCTGGGGCGAGCGGGGGAGGAGCTGGCAGAGGCCCGGGAGCGGTAGACACCAGGCAGGGCTGGCCCCTGGGGATCGCCCGCCCACCGCTAAAGGACCCTCCCCCAGCCTAAGGGGAGGAGCCGCAAGGTCCGGATCTCAATTAACCGCTGGGGGCAGCTGAAGGTATAACAGGGACGGGAGTGCGGTCATGGGCTAAACAAAGGGAACCGGTCGGGGAAGCCCAGCAGAGAACCCCGGGCAGCGCCCGCTGCTCCTCGAAGGCGTCAAGGGAGGCAGCGGACGCTGCCCAGAGGAACTCCCCCCGGATTCGCGAGCAGATGGAGGATCGGGAATAGGCCCCACAGTCACAGGAGACCCCATTGGCCAACCTCCTCTCCCTGGTCTTGTAGATGGCCACTTTGGCCAGTGCTAGGAGTAGGTTGACGAGGAAGTCCCACAACTTTGTGGGGCCACGGATAGGGAGTGTGTAGATAAGGAGGTGAGGGGAAAAGTGCAGCCAAAAATGCAATAGGATATCTAAGAGGAGCCAGAATAGTCGCTGCAACCTGGCATACTCCAGATTCACGTGCGCCAGGGTTTCCCTCACGCTGCAGAAAGGGCAGGTGTCTAGGACGGGGGTGAACCGCGGCAAGAACAGGCCCACGCTCACAGCTCCATGAAGGAGCCACCAACTGATACCCCCGGCGGGCTTTGGGAGCAGGGTGGAATATAGGCCGGCCCACCGGGATTTCTCACCCTCCAGAGGTGGCAGGAGGTCCCGCCAATTCGTGTCAGGGCGGGACACGAGGGTGAGGACGTGAAGGGTGTGGAGCATGAGTGTGTACAGCTGTTTCCTTGGTGCAATCCGGAAATGAGCCAGCTGCAATTTGTGCAGCCGGCTCACGGTGAAGGGGCAGGATGGCCAGGTGGGTCCACGGGGCAGGGGCCTGATGAGACGGTCCAGAGGGCCTGGGTGTAGGGTGTGCGGCGGGCGCTGTCCCGCAGAACCTGGTCGAGGTAGGCCCGAGCAGTGGGCGGTAAAGCGACCCTCACCTCCTGAAGTACGTGCCAGGGAGAATGAGGGCCGGAGAGCCCCATGTGCTGAACGAATGCCGGGCAGGGCCGTGTTAGGCTGGCATGCTGCCTCTGCATGCTGCACTTCCAACTGCACCCCCACAGACATCATCTTCCAGTGCATGGGCCCCATCCTCCATGGGGACCCCATCCTGAAAGCCTTGTCTTCTGACCTTCAAACAACCCCTGAAGTACCTCATCTGACGCAAGCTCCCCATAGACCAGGACACCCCAACTCAAAGCAGCACCAGACCCTGCCAGAACAACAGATGCAAAACCTGCAGACATCTTTCTACTGCTCCGATGATCAACATCCCCATTCACATCTTTCAAGAGATCGCAACCTGTGGTGTACCTCATCCAGTGCCCTAAATGCCCCAATAACAACTGTGTTGGTGATACCAGACAATCATGATGCTCTCAAATGAACTCACAAAGGGAAATGATAAAAGACAGACACATAGACTCATAGGGAGCTCGAGAGGTATCTAGTCCAGTTCCCTGCACTCAAGGCAGGACTAAGTATTGTCTTCTAGACCATCCCTGACAGGTGTTTGTCTAACCTGCTCTTAAAAATCCCCAATGATGGAGATTCCACAATGTCCCTAGGCAATTTATTCCTGTGCTTAACCACCCTGACAGGAAGTGTTTCCTAATGTCCAACGTAAACCACCCTTGCTGCAATTTGAGCCCATTGCGTCTTGTCCTGTTCTCAGACGTTAAACTCACTCCTCCTTGTAACAACCTTTTATGTACTTGAAAACTGTTATGTCCCCTCTCAGTCTTCTCTTCTCCAAGATCTTCTCCTATCACCTGTGGGGGAACACTTTTTTCACAAAGCAATCACTCTACATCTGACCTATCCGGTCGCATCCTCAAAGGAAACCTGCACAACACCTTCAAAAGACGAACCTGGGAGCTTAAATTCATAACTTTGCTAGACACTACAAATCACGGATCAAATAGACACGCTGGATTCATGGCTTAGTAGAACAATCTGTAACCCACTAATAACCCCAACAGCTGCTTCTCCCCACCCTTCCTTTTCTCCCTATGACAGGGGTGTTAATGGGACACTTTATCTTGAATGGTCCCTCGAAATGTGTATTAACTACTTATGCTAAACTATCTGTGACACTCTGAGTTAGTTTCCCAGAGCTGAAGAAGAGCTCTGTGTAGCTCCAAAGCTTGTCTCCCTCATCAACCCAGGTTGATCCAATAAAAGATATGACCTCACTCACCCTGTCTCTCTGCTGCACCAAGCACAACTGCAGGGAAACTGGGTGCCAGTGTTGCCAACTCTCATGATTCTGTCATGAGTCTAATGATCATTATTGTTTTCCTTAAAGCCCCAGCTCCTTGAGTCAAGTGGAAGTGTGATGATTTCAGCCTTTGTTCTTAAAGCAAAAGTAAGTTTCTAGCCCTCGTGGCTATGGAGAAAGCTTCAAAATGTGACCCCAGCATGGGCGGCGGGTGAACCACCAGCTGCCCCCTTCCACAACTGGAGCCCGGAGCCCCCAGCCCCGTGGTCGCCAGCCCCCCACCCGCCTCAGTCCCAGTGCGCCAGGAGCAGGGCAAGCAGGAGGGGGCTTCAGGGAGTAGCATGGGTGGGGTCATGCGGGGGTGTTTGGGGAGGCACAGCCTTCCCCAGCTTATTGGACATCTCGCCCCTGGACCCAGGTGCCCCCTATTGGCTCAAAGAGCAGAGGGGAAATGAAAGAACAGCAAATCTAGTATTTTTACATAATCTCACGCTTTTAAAGGCAATCTTGTGATTGTTGGTGAGCCCCACACGTGATTTTTGACCATTTGAGGTTGGCAACAGAGCAGGCCAAGCAGGGAGAAGCCAGTGGCAGAGTTGAGTTGCCAGGGACCGAGGGGCAAGGCTGTCCTACAGGTGGGCTGTTCCTTGTCATCAGGGTTGGTTCTTGGCTTCTTTGCAGATCAGCAGATTCCGTGACATTTAAAGACAGTCCAATCTCTGAGCCCCTGAGCAAGACAACTCTGCAACTGAGGGAACATCTCAATGGGTACGATGGGCATGGTGTAAGGATGAACGTGAGTGGGTCCGAAAGGTCCAGACTGGGCAGGGATGCAGTACAAGCTCATGGATCAGAGCCAGGTCAGCCACAAGAAGGCCCATAGGTAATGGGAGATTCACCCACCAGAGAACGGGTGGTTTTATTACCTAGATCCAGTGCTACAAGGCATGGCTTACAAGCGGCTTTGTGCTGATGGGGTGATACCATGGAGGGTCCAGGTGGGGGTTCAGGTGATACGTACCAAGTACTCCAAGCAGCCCTGGCAGAGCAGTTTGGGCAGGGAGGGTGGCACAATAGATGAAATCCTGTCTCTATTTAAAAAAACAGAGGGAGTTTTGCCCTTGACTTCAATAGGGCTGTGTTTTACCCCATGATTGATCTTGGCCCCTGCCACTGCAGTGCGATTGGGTGGTTTGAAGAGCGCCCGAGATTTGCTTGAACCAGCCCTGCCAACTGTAACAAAAAACATTCAGAGACTGTATCCACTCCGGGGAGACACTTGGTGCTTCAGGACAGTTGATGACTTGTGACCTTCGCTCTCTGACTCACATGCACCTGAGATGGGGTTTCCAGGGCCCCCTGCTGGATGGACTCAGTACAAACACTGCCCACGCCAGCATGCGTTGGCTCTGGGATCTGCATTGGTTCCAGTATGTTTCCAAGTGGAATGGTTTTAAAGCTCTCAGTCGTTTGGAACCTGGTTGTCTGAGAGCTGCGTCCCTCCCCATGCAGCTGCCATTGGTATAGGCACTTGAGAAAGCAAAACAAAAAATGTCAGGCTTTTGTTAGAGAAGCCAAAGAGGGTTCATGGGAGCTCAGCCCCTCTCCCTGGCCTCAGGAGGTCCCTTGGAAGTACACTGGCCCTTTAAGACCTTGCTCTCCTCACCTTCTAGTCCAGTGGCTCTCAGCCTTTCTAGACGACTGTCCCCCTTTCAGGAGTCTGATTTGCCTTGCAGACCCCCACGGTTCACCTCACTTAAAAATGACTGGCTTACAAAATCGGTCATAAAAATATAGAAGTGTCACAGCACACTATTACTATAAAAACCTGGGGTGCAAGTTCCAAACTGCTTTGTCCCACGGAACCACACTGCACGTTCCCAGCTACAAATAGACCCTTCTTTCTCAAATATTTCTACATATCGGTTAAGTTTTCCTTTACATCCTTTCTCAGTTTGCTAAACTTGCAGCTGCTGCCTGTATTTTAACACACCTTAATACAGTTAATCTCTCTTGGCTCAGGTCTCCCTGCCTTCCTAGGTTGCTCTTCATCCCCTTCCCCCACTTCTCTTCACTTCTGCTCTCTCTCTTTGTTTTAAAAGTTTAAAGTTATAGTTTTTACAAAAACCTCCAGAATATAAAACAATTGAAAACCGAACAAAACAACAAAGAGAAAACAAGGGAAAAATTTTACTTTAAATAAATCCCATAAATTATTTATTTTAACCCTTCAGAAATGCAACAGCTGGAATTACGCCTAACTTTCTTAAAGATATGGTTGCCAAGCAACAAAAATGCAGACTTTGCTTCTATCCTAAGCACTAACTAATATTTGAGACATGGGCTTTCCTTATTACCACATAGCAAAGTTTTAAAATAAAGTTAATATAAAGTAATAAAAAATGCTTTACGTTACTAAATTAATACCAGCAGAGCTGGGACAGCACACCAAAATACTATAAAATAGTAATTATAAAATTGAAATATAAGTATTGTCCTTACATTTCAATGTATAGTATAATAGAGCCGTATAAACAAGCCAATATCCATATGAAA